TGTGTGTGTGTGTGTGTGTGTGGGCGCGCGCGCGTGCACATACAGGGAGGGAAATTTTCCCCAGCCAAAGGCAGTCTGATAAGGTCAAAGCCAGGGAGGGGCCAAGAGGGACTACGTAGGGGATCTAGTACAAATCAAAGCAATTTTTCAAGTACAACTGTGAGTACAAATCGAAGCATTACTGTCTGTGGCTGTAACAAGGAAGGAGTGACCATTTCTCAGTGCACTCACTCCAGACTAAAGGAAGCACCTTGCAAGGCATAGTTTTCTTGAGGCACTTTTTTTGTTGTACCTCAGGAAGCTGTGTGTGTGCTGCCTCTTGCCCCATGGCAATGCTAGGGAGGAGTGGTTTCCCAAGCAAGAGGCTGGGTGCTAAGGCCCCTGAAGCATTACTTTCTATGGCTGTATGTAACAGTGAAGGAGTGGGCTGTGTATAATATATCATGGTAGCTCCCAAACAGCCATAAGCACTGTGAAATGAGGCACCAGCCATGAGTGCAACAGGGAGATGGAGAGGGAGCCATGGGATAGCACTGGGGAGAGGGGGCCTGTATTTATATAGGTACGTATTTACTTGAGTATGTATTCATGTACTTACGCATTTACTTATTATGATTACTGTGTGTGTGTGTGTGTGTGTGTGTGTGTGTGTGTGTATATGTGCCCCAGGGAGCAGGGATTTGGAGTAGGGAAGAGGGACTGAGGCCCTAGTACAGAATTACTTGGCATCAGACCTGAGGAAGGAACTCCTTGTCAGTGTAACTCCAAAGCTCCTTTTCCCACTAGAACTGTGCATAGATCAAGGATTGCTCTTTTTTAGCTGAAAGATACTCTGGTAGAACTGGCTACTATGTCTACTGCACTGATTATATTATGAGTCTATAGACATTAGGCTATATACAATATAAGTCTATATAATAAAAGTCTACTATAAGTATAATATATAATAGTATACTATTTGAGGGAATGCTGAATGAAGTGTTGTGTCAGGTTCATCTGCTTCTTCCTCTTCTCTTTCTGCTTCAGAAGCAGTGTGCAACTAGCAAGGGAATGGTAGCTAAGAATAGGAGGGAGGGAGCATAATCATGCCGATCCTGTGGTTTCTCTTTCTTATCTGGAAGAGCATTCCGACAAAAAGTGAAGACATCAATGAATCTCATCAACAAGGGAAAGATTTTTTTTCAAGCCATTCAGTGCTACATGTACACACTTGAGTGGCAAAAGTGGGGCCTGCCACATACCCACATCTTATTAGTAGCGGGAAATAAGATAGAATGAAAATATTTTATTTATAAAACATTTGGCTTTATAATGTTACCTGATTCTATGGTGTAATGGTTAGCACTCTGGACTTTGAATCCAGCGATCTGAGTTCAAGTCTCGATAGAACCTGCTTTCTTAAGTTTAGATTAGACATCTGTAAGAACTACTTCACAGTTAGGGCAGCTAGGATCTGGAACCAACTTCGAAGGGAAGTGGTACTGGCTCCTACCCTGGGGGTCTTTAAGAAGAGGCTTGATGCCTACCTGGGGTCAGACTTGAAGATCTACAAGGTCCCTTCTGACCCTACTTCTATGATTAAAATTTGATTACTGCAACCTGGGTGAAGCCAGGTACTTTGGCTAGTAAGTAATACATACTACAGCATATAGTTCAGAGAATGCTGAAGGAAGTGGCCTCAGGTTCTTCCTCTTCTGGGCATAGAAAGACAATAGGCTTTTTAATTGAAAACCAGCATGCACCAACTAAAAAAACCCAAATGTTTCAACATCCTAGCTTATAAGAAAGTTGCAGAGAGCAATGCCCCCCCCCCCGCCCCCCCCCCCCCCCCGGGGACAGACAAGGCTCACTTATCAATGAATGCATAATGGTGCTGCTTTCTTTCAAGTCTCATGTCGCAGAGTTGCGCTCATCCAGGGACTGAAAGATTCACTGCACCCCACTTCAGCAGCCAGCAATCTTATTTGTCGAATGCTGGATTTGCATTCATTCTGCCTCTGGTGTTTAGCTGTGTCTTATCTGCAGTGCGAGCATTGCTCCCCCAATTTATAGGCCTTGAGTGGGACAGTTTCCCTGCCTTCCCCCACCCAGCTTCATTTTGGTGCCCCAAAAAATCAGGCAATCTGGTGCCAGGCTGGAAAAGAACATGAAAAGAAGGCAGGAAAAGTTTTGCAAAATGCTTGTGTGCAAGCCAGGCCTACACATTGGGGGGTGAGCCTGACAGACCCCTCACCTCCCCTACCGTAGGCAGGGAGAAAAAGACTGCAGGCATAAAACACTGTGACGGCTTTTGCAGAGTGTGTGGTTTTCCAAAATACAAGCAAGTCTTGTGCGGGCATTCCCTAAGCAGTTAGGGTAAAGTGTGTGTGTGTGTGTGTGTGTGTGTGTGTGTGTGTGTGTGTGTGTGTGTGTGTGTGTGTGTCCCCACGTAGTGCTACAAGGTACCTGGGGAACACTTCTGCTATATATGTATGCAAGCCCCCAGCCATGGAGCCCCACCCTGTGTACCTGTGCAAGAGAGATTACCAGCCCCTTCCCCATGCAACACATGGCCAGGAAAACCAGAAGGCAGAAAAATGAAAACAAAAATGGATGCAAAGAATGAATGAAATTTCCCTTCTCCACCCAGCACTGCGAGGGTGGATTTTGTCAGGCCTTCAAAGATAATGAAGGCAGATGCTGAAAGCCAGGATACCATGAGGTTTTATTATAAGGACCACAGTATTGTAAGCAGTCAGTTACTTGGGCTTCTTTCCCTTCACCCCACCAGCACCCTGAACTGGACCTGGCTCCCTGAACTGCAGCGGTGGCTGCCTGGCCTTGCTGGCAGTCGTACAGCCTTCCTCTGACCCCACTGCGTTAGGGGGAACAGGCTCAACTGTAATGCTCCAAGGTACCTCCTGGACAGAGGCAAGCCTACTCATTGGCGATGCGTAGGGGGTGCATGTACACCTGCTGAGTGTGGCAGTGCACCCCCTACGAAAAGGTGCAGGCGGTTGCTGCTTGCGCCCCCCCGGCTAATCAGCAGGTCAGCGATTGCCACTGGTTGCTGAGGACGCTGTTGGCAGTGTCTATGGGTGGTTGCCGACCCCTGGTCCGTGCACCCCTCCCCCCGCCGCTGACAGTGCTGGCAGCATCTGCGGGAGCTCCCCGCTTACCGCTGCTGTGCTCCCACCGCTGCCAGTGCTGCCATGTCCTCCTAGCCACCGGGGACATGCATCGTTCATGGACTTACTTTTCCCTTTCTGGGGTGGTACCCATTTTTTAAAAAGGTGCTTCTCCCATCTCTGCGTGGCATCACTTAAAAAGCTCTGTGACCTCTGGAATTCAATATGGGACTTGGTGGCCATGTATACCAAACGCCACATGTTGTCTCGCATTTCCTCCGTCATCGCAATGCAGGGACTCCTGGAGTTCGTCCTGCCAGGCATTTGCATGTGACGCTCTGGCTTATGAATTCTCCACCAAAACCTCCAGTGAGCTTTCTCAGGAGCGTCGCTGCCTGCGGCGCATACCCTTGTAGCGCTCTGATGCAGTGCAAGCTGGGGTCCGTTCCCAGCCACCATAGGTCGCGGCAGCTTGTAAACGAAGGGAAAAAGCCTTCCTGGTTTTATGACATTGCCTTCCCCCAAGAGGAAGAAAATACACATCACCATCACCCCCACCCTGCTGTGAAGAAAATGCCTGCAGGCACAAAAACAGATGTTGCAAGAATGGGGCACCATTCGTACTGCCCAAAACTTACCAGTGCCCAGTTTGGA